ATGGTAAGTACAGATTTGAAACTTCAGCTGGAATTGCTATTCTAAACACACTTGTGGCCAGGCGTGGTGGCGCACGCCTTTAACCCCAGCACTGGGGAGGCAGAGACAGGCAGATCTCTGAGTTTGAGGCCAACCTGGTCTACAGAGCCAGGACAGGCTCTAAAGCAATACAGAGAAACCCTGTCTTGGGGGAAAAAAAAAAGGGGGGGATACTAAGGAATACTAAACATATGTGTGCATATTGTACAGCACACGCTCTGGCACACTGAACAGCAGGAAACCTTACAGCCAGCTTCCTCCTTGCCTCTCTCTATGGTCCTCAGAAATGGGTGTTGTATTTAACAAGTTCTGGGGGGATAGACTAAGCCTTTTGCACTTCAGTTGTATATTTATGTTAACATCCTTCTGACTATTTAATCTTATATTGGAAAAAATTTTAGAGCCTCTGTACTAAGATTCCTTTTTTAAATTATTATTTATTTATTTATTTATTTATTTATTTATTTATTTATTTATTTTGAGACAGGGCTTCTCCGTGTAGCTTTAATTATAGTGGGCAATGCGATTACTTCTGGAACTTCTCTGTAGACCAGGCTGGCCCCAAACTCATAGAGCTCTACCTGCCCCATCCTGCTTCCCAACTGATGGGATTAAAGGCTTGTGCTACCACTGCCCAGCCGAACCCCTCTTAAAGAATTACTGCAGGATATGGAGTGAGTCAGGATTCACCAAGTATGTACCAACCTTCAACGGAAAGTTAAGTTCAGTTCTCAAAAATCAGATAAATCTTAAGTTCAGTTCTCAAAAATCAGATAAATCTTAAAAAAAAAAAAAAAAAAAAAAAAAAAAATCTCCCCCCAAAACCTTCCTGGTCACTTGAACCAAATCTACCAGTACCTGACACATGTTGACTTTTCTAGAGAAACAGTTTCTGTTTAGAGCAAAATGTCAGAACAATCTTCTGACACCCGTCTCACTTCTGACTACAATCTGTGAGTGTCTGTGCTCTCCAGCACTTACCTGCAACGTCAGTGGCCACACCGTACTGTGGGACACTTACTGTGGGAACGTACTTTCAGTTCTAATTGACCCATGTGGCTCCGCACCTGTGCTTACTAAGTGCCTTAGAGACTACAAGAACATATGCTAACACTCTGTAGGTGTGATAGAGCTTTAGTCTCTGAGAGTGTCAACTTCTGACAGGAATTTAAAAATGCTGCGCACTTTGCAGTGAGAAATGAAAGCACATGGCCACATCAGGGTTTGTGGACTGAGGCTGAGCCAGCTCAGCACAGCACTGACTGCTCTCCCCCAGAAACCAGGCTCTGTTCCCAGCACCCACAGGGTACCTCACAACTGTCTGTAAACCCCAGTTCCAGAAGATATGACACCTTCTTCTGTCTCTTTAGGAACTGCACATACACGGTGCAAAGGCATACATATAGGTCCAACACCCACACGCATATCAAATACATCTCATTTTAAAAAAATTGTAGTTACAAAAGCACTAAGAAAGTGCCTGATAAACACATCAATAAAATGTGGTAACAACAGAATATTCACTCATGACAAGATCTGATGCATGCTGTAACAGAGATGAGCCTTCTAAGACTATGCAAACTGAAAAGAGCCATCACAAAAGTGCACAAAAGGATTGTTCAGAGCACATAAATCTATAGAAACATAAAAAGTCGACTGGTGGTGCTGTAGGTGTGTGTGTGTGTGTGTGTGTGTGTGTGTGTGTGTGTGTGTGTGTTGATAGCTTCCACATTAAGTGATTATAACTACACACACGTGTATATATATGTATGCATGTATATATGTATACACACACGCACGTGCACACACATGTACACACACACACAATCACTCTTGGAGTGTGTGCACTCTGGTCACTTTGTCTTTTTAGTTCAAGCTGAGACTTACTCTACAGCAGGCACTATTCTAGAAGCATTGTGTAAAACTACCAAGACAAGTCAAGTCCCTCTTTTATTACTTCTAAAACTGTGGATATTGGCCCCGAATGGAGGGAGCAAATAACAAAAGGAAGTATCTTGGAAAAAAAGTTAAGCATTTCTAGAAAATGCTACAACCAAAATTAATTCAAAACCAAACATATAATGAATCCAAAGATCTTAGCAGTACTTGCCTGTGTTGCACTGTCAACTTTACAGCAGCCCTGGTTCTGAACACATAAATGATGCCTGAGACACCTCAGCTCAGAACTGAGACTTCAGTGTGTTTTAACAACTGTGATGTTTTTACTGTGCATGCTTTCTGTTATTATACAAATAATGGGTTAAGAACAAAAAAATATTTCTACCATTTGTCCTCTGCATAAAGTTCTAACATCTTTTGAAATGTTCCTAAACATACCTGTCATCCTGTATTATATATTTATCAAGGTGGCCTTTTCAGTACTGACCATTATCAATCAACTCTGAAAAACATCCAAGATGCTCAACACTTGGTAGTATCTTTAAAGATACACTAATTCATCAATCTCCATTAGCATGAAAGTTTGCTTTTATATTTTTAATAAATGGTAAAACCCATATGCACGCTAAAAAACTGTTTTAAAATAAATGCCTTTGTAGCCGGGCAGTGGTAGTGTATGCCATTTATCCCAGCACTGAGTTTGAGGCCAGCCTGGCCTACGTGGCTGCTTAAAGTCACGTGACCCTCTTCTGGCCTCCACAGGCTCTGAGCATGCAGGTGGTGTACGTGCACATACAAGCACAATACCTTTAAACATAAAAAAGAAATCTGTAGAAGTTTCTCTTTTAATCTCAACAGTCAGGAGGCAGAGGCAGGCAGATCTCTGTGAGTCCCAGGGAAGCCTGGTCTACAGAGCGAGCCACAAGCCAGCCAGGATTGTTACACAGAGAAATTCTGTCCTGGGATGGGGGTGGGGCACAACGACAAAACAATAACAATACTAATAAAAAACAGTCTTTCGTGAGATAAAAAAGGGGTTGCAAATGAACAAAATTTATTAAGTCCTGCTCTAGGAGTTTGCAACCCAGTAGATCAATAAACAGCTTTAAAACAAGATGCTACATGATGGGCTGGGTAAAGACAAGGAGACAATTCAACAGAGGAAATACTTCTTGGATGGTATGATCAAAGCCAGGGAGGGCTTCATGCTGCTGGTGACTAACTGTCCGCAGCGATCTCATCTACTAACCTAGTCTGGGAAAAGTGGCTTCAGGCTGTGTAGACAGACCCACAGTGATAACTCTCATGAGCCTCCCCCCCCCAAAAAAAATTTTTATATTTTGAATTTCAATACAATAACATCATTTTTCCTTTCCTATTCCTCTCTCCAACTCCTACCATACACCCCCCCCCCTTCCTTATCTTCTCACAAGTCTTTCATTTTAGAGGTGTTTTGTTTTTTTGGAGAAAAGGTCTCTTGACTGGGCTGGCTTCAACCTTATAGATCCTTTTGCCTCTGCCTCCCAGGCTCTGGTATTAAAGGCGTGTGCCACCACTTTCAGCTCTCACAAGTTTTTAAGAAAACCATCTTTGGACAATTTGGCTTCAAGTGACCTTTCCCTCCTTTTCTTGTGCCTCCAGCAACTGTGATTTATTAGTCATTCTTGTAACCCTTTTTAGTGAAGAGACACTGTGCTAAAAAGTCCCAAGACTTAAAGACAAATCACACACACACACACCTAACAGTCCCTAAGGCAGGTACCAATCTAGCAGAGCAAAAACTTGCATGCACTTGTGTGTACACACACACACACACACACACACGCACACGCACACACGCACGCGCACGCACCAATACCAAGTCAAAGTGGGACGCATGAGAGAACTAGAAAACGAATTCAGGGATTACTAACAGCACAAACAGTGCAGGAAAAGCTCGTGTGGTAGGAACGGAAGGGAATACCTAGTTATGACTGTGGATAAAAATAAAAACGTTTAGTTTGTTTTAGTGTCACTGATTCACTTTAAATAGACTTTTAATTATTTTCAGCCACCCCCCCCCAAGCAGGTATCAAGCTGCTATTCCTCATGCCTCTGCGACATTCCACACAGTGTTCGTAAGAGGTGACCCAGTCATTTATTGTCTGTTGCAAGGATGAGCCTCCACTTTCAGAACTGAGGGATGGCGAAGAGATCTTTGGAATGTCCACCACAGCATATTTCACAATATACCCATAAAAACCATTTGAATATGTATTTGTGTTTACATGCATAATACTGCACTTTTAATTCACAATCTTACAATTTGTATTAGTTCTTTTTTGCTTTTAATTTTCCAGTCAATGACTCTGTCCAGTCAGGATTACCCTCAAAGTTCTTCCTGCCTCAACTTCCTGAGTGCTGGAGTTACGGGTATGTGTGTGAGGGGGGAAGCAGGGGGAGAGGGAGGGGCCAGGGGCATCAGAGCTCCCAGGCAACTGCCAGCAACATGACGTGGGTCCAGGAGGTTCAGGAACCTGACCTCAAGTCCTAGGCAAGAGCAGCTTGTCAATCATTCTTGAGCCATCTCTTCGGCCCTTCACTAACTTATTTTAAGTTTGCATTACTAAACTGAAGCTTCTAATTCAAGCTGCTTCTTTTTTCATTTTCATGCGTGTCTGTGTGCAGTATGCACTGTTCCTTTTACTTTAGTCATGGAGGCAGGGTCTCTCAGTCAAACCAGAGGTCCCAGACATGGCTATTCTCACTAGCCGGCTAACACAGGGGTTCTGTCTGACTTGAGAGGCTGTAATTACAGACAGGCCCTGTGCCCACCTGCATTTTCATGAGTCCTGGAGATCCAGACTCCAGGCTTTATGTTTGTGTAGCATGTGCTTTTAACCACTGAGCCATCTCCCTACCCACCCCCCATCTTTTTCCATTGAGCAAAACTCCATACTCAGCCCTTCAAGATTCTTTCCCAACCCCAACACAACATATTAACCACTGAAGAAAAGCCAAACAACATTCTTTTGAGGCAATGTCTCAGTATCTCCAAAAAAATATTCCATGGCCAAACTCACCATAGAGAGCTGTCCAAGTTTGATTAATTACATCTAGACACACAGTTCCTGACCTGAAACAGATGGAAAAAAAAACGGCACTTTTAAAAAATTAGAAATCTAGTTGCATGTTTCCGGCAGCTAATTTTATCAAAAACACTTTGTAACAAACACCCTATAAGATACAGGTGGGAATAAGGCGAGGGGAAGCACAGCACAGATATTTACAAGCTCTTTCATGCCTCATTGACAACCAACGAGAGACAAGAGCAACCATATGAAGAAAGCAGCACCTGAAGCGCGTGCTGAGCACTAACCCAAGGAACAAGGGTAGACACACCTTATGATTCCCCAACTAAACACAAGGGTTTCACCACACAGTCAAGTGTGTGCACATTTTGAGTCTAAGAAAAGCAGACAAATGCAAATTAAAGGTTAATTGATTTACAATAACTACATTTCTTAAAGCCTTAACTTTATATATAGCAGAAACAAGTTGAGGAACTGATCCTGATTAAAGTTATTTAAGGAACTTGACAACTAAAGGTAGCATGAGCCTGACATTATTGCAATACAGACTAGATAAAAGTATTGCGTCACACTAAATTTCTGGATCTACTTTAGTGGGTTACATAAGAGAACATCCTGTCATTAGGAAGGTGGATACACAAGGTATTAAAGACTAAGGGACATAATGTAGACATGTAACCTACACATACAAGGTTCACAAAAATCTCCTATGCAGTTGTTGAGACAGCAAAAACTGAAGCTGGACAAAGAAAAACTATAGTCCAAATAACCAGCAGTATAAGGACAAGACAGGCTAACAGTCTTAAGAAATAGATAATTAAGATCAACTAAAATGGAATTATTATCATTCACATTTGTCTCTCAAGAACTAAGAAATATACTGAGGGCTGAAACAGTAAATCCATACGCTGACAAAAGTCTTTGAGTTGGGTCTACACAGAAGACTGAGATGTGGATTATTTCAGGTGGATACCAAAAGAAATGGAAAGGCCCAGTCATGACAAGGGGGAAATGTGAACAGCACAATCAGTAATTGCACAGGAACCTCAGTGGCTCAGATGGTCACATCCCTAGGAGCATTCACACAGTGCCGCCTCCCCAACAGTGAGAGAGGGATGACCTCTAATGAATCAAGAACAGCTGCTGCTAAAACTTAAATTTTTAAATAGTTACTTACGCTTCATCAATGTTGGGGTGGAAAATTTTATTCATGAATCCTGCAAAAAGAGATGTTAATTAGCAGAGAACAGTGAATTTTAACTTGTCAGTACTGGAGACCATTTTAGGACTGGAAATGGTGGCAATACTCAAATTGTTACTTTCAACCTTAGATCTTTGGCTATTTGTAAGATTATATTCACCCAACTAAAACACAAGAGTTCTTTACCAAGCACACAAACTTTGGGACCATGCAGCTTTTTGTATAAGATATTCTTAAAAGTTACTGTCTTCTGAAACATGAAGGAACTTGCCAAAACAGAACATATAATATTAAGTGCTTTAAAACTAGTGCCACAATGGAAGCTAAGAAAAAGTTCAGAGCAGTTTAACTGTTTGAGCTTTACTGGAGGGCCACACTTGAACTTCGGAAGCATGTTTACAGGTATCTTTGGCCACACAGTGGAATAAGAAAATGCTGCTTAAGTTAGAACACTGCTTCCAAACCACAAAATGTCACAACAGCAATGACCCCTAAAGTGGTTGCTGTGAATCTATATACTCAATTCTGATTAAAATCAGGGCAATGGAGCAATATGGTAAGGGCTTAAAATACATTCTCTAAGATACTGAATCTGCAGCACTTGGGAGGCAGAGGCAAGCATATCTCTGCGAGTTTGAGGCCAGCCTGGTCTACAGAGCAAGTTTCAGGTCAGCCAGGGCGGTTCCACAGAAAAACCCTATCTCGGAAAACCAAAAGAGGGATATTGGGGGGGGGGGTAGCTGAATCTGCTAGAGATTTTCACTTTTTAAAAGTTTATTCCTAGAGAAAAGTACCAACTTAAAAATTTGCTGCTCAAATCCCAAGGAGGAATTTACTCATTTTAAATTTACTAACGCAAACAACAATATCCTAAGCAGAAACTCAAAGCTCTTCATTGTACCATATTATTACCGTGTTTCCCTACTAGGACTGTGTTGTCCTATCCCACACTTAACAAGTTCCTCTAGGATGGCTCTCCCCATCACTGTCCCCACACTACCCTCTCATCCCTTTCCCACAGCTTCAACTGGATTCCAAATATGCTTGTCAGCACCTACTTGGCAGTCATTTCGTTAGGGTACAAGAATGAGACTGCAAACTATTCTCCCAGAGGTCACTGTAGCAGCGGGCTAAGGGACAAGAAGTAACTGCGGTGTATAGGAAGTATGGACACAATCAGAGAGCACACAAGGAAAGAGAAGAGAGGGTATGGAAACAGAGGCCACAAACTCAGGAGGAGCCTTAAGTGATTCCCCAAAACCTTACAACATCCTTCAAGTTAGGATAAGAACACAAAAGCATAGGCACTTCAGACTTTGCTCTAGCCATTCCAAATAACAACCCCACTCTTTAATGTATAAATAACTTTGGTGCAAAAGGCTGCATCAATAATAATTTCTCATTAAGGAAAATTAGGGATGCTTAAAAGATATCCCAAGCTAATAGAAGTGCTCATATCTTGAAAGGAAAAAAATTTCCCTAGAGTTAAATTCCTTGTAACCCTAGGAAAATGCTAATAACATACACAATTAGGTTAAGCTATTGAGAATACTGGAAGTTATTCTGGGTCCACACCTTTAATTCCAGCACTAGGGAGGTATAGGCTGGAGGATCCAGGTAAACTACGGCTACACAGTAAGGCATCTTAAAAGGTGGGGGGAGGGGACGGGACTGGAGAGATGGTTCAGTGGTTAAGAACTATCACTCTTCCAGAGGACCTGGGTTCAATTCCTAGCACCCACATGGCAGCTCACAACCATTTGTAACTACAGTTCCAGTGGACTTGACATCCTCATACAGACATACATACAAATAAAACACCAATGCATATGAAATAAAATAAATTATTTTTTAAAAGTCAACTAGAAACCCAGCCCAGAGGTGATGGCGCATGCCTTTAATACCAGCACTGAGAAGACAGAGGAAGGCAAATCTCTCAATTCAGGGCCAGCTTGATCTACAGAGCAAGTTCCAGGACAGTCAGAGCTATACAGAGAAACCCTGTCTCAGAGGGAAAAAGAAACAAACAAACAAAAAAAAGAACTAAAAACCCTCAAAAGCCCTACAGCCGGGACTAAAGCAAGTACAGAGTACCCATGGACTTGGGGTTCTACACAGCAAAGCAGAGTGAACTACATCAATGTGCCCACTTGGACAGGTCTAAAGTTAAGCTTCAAGCTGCCTTCTAAATATTTCTTTATACCCAGATTAGTGATGCTCTCAGCCTTCTCAAGGGAACTTTCTCCAATGGACAGTAGTTAATGCAAATGCTGATTGCTCGAACACTTAGTCCTAAATGGGATGACAGACACATCAAACCCCAAGGACTCACACCAAGGTTCAGAAACATGGAGGAAGAGGAGGCAGAAAGAATGTTGAGAGATAGAGGCGGGCAAGGAGTGCTGTGGTAAATGCGCTGACTTCTGGGTATGAGAGATCATACAGAGGGAGGGCATACTGGGAATTTTGGGGAAGAGCAGAAGGAAGGAGTGTGGGGACTGGCTATGATCAAGATACAATGTATACAAGTAAATTTGCCAAAGAATGAATTAAAAATACTCTTTAAATAAGTCAAAACCACATAACAGACTGATGAGTTGATAATATAGTACTATTTAAATTAAATGATAGTAAAGTAATACTGCACTCCATGCTTTAGGGGAAAATCCTATTGAACCACATAGATTGCAAAGGTATTTTAACTAGGCTACAGAGCTGCTGTGGACATCGAAACAGACTGGGGAGAGGATGGTGTCTGATTACTTGACCTGCTTGGGGTAGTGCTCCACGCCTGTCACCAAGAGGCAGAAGCAGGGTTTTAAGTCTCAGACTGGCTTAGGTAACAGTCAGATCCTGTCTCTAAAAGCCGAGAGATTAAGAGACAAAGGTGGCTGGAGACATGGCTAGGCAGGTAAGAGCAGATGCTGCTATTGCTAAAGACGTGAGTTCAGTTCCCAGCATCCACATGGCAGCTAGCTCACAATTACCTGTAACCCGCTCCAGGAGACCTGGCATCCTCTGGCCATACATGGCACATACATAAATAAGTAAATAAAAAGAGACAAAGTCAGGGATGGAGAGATGGCTCAGTGATTAGAGCACGGGTTGCTCTTCCAGAGGACCTAGGTTCAATTCCCAGCACCCATGTGACAGCTACCAACTATCTATAACTCCAGTTCCAGGGAATTTGATCTCTTCTGGCAATGCATGCACACGCACGCACACACGCACGCACGCACGCAATGCACAAACATACACCCAGGTAAACATTTCTGCATACAAAATAATATCTTTGAGAGACAAAGTGCTTGGGTATTTTTTGCCTTTTTTTTTTTTTAATAGCAAGTGTGCACACAGATAAGCTGGAAGCAAACATATTCAAAGGTTACAGTGCAGAATTCTCAGTTGAAAACACTTTTATAGCAGTATTTTCAAAATCCTATCCTTCCCCACCACAGCCCCTCACAACCCATGCTCAGAAGCAAACAAGGACACAGCAGTGTTAAAGGCCCACAAGTGTCTAAGCGTCAGCTCCAGTGTTTCTATCACATTTAGTATAAACAAATATTTAAAAACCATTTAAATAAACAGAAACAATACCCAGTGACCCACCCCACCCCACCCCAGACAGGGTTTCTCTGTGTAACAGTCCTGGCTGTCCTAGAATTCACTTAGTAGACCAGGCTGCCCTCAAACTCACAGGATTGGCCTGCCTCTGCCTCCTGAGTGCTGGGATTAAAGGTGTGCACCACCACTACACAGCTCAATATCAAGTTTTAGAGTAGATTTAATTATACGTGTGTTAACTAGTGCTGAATCTTCTAAAGAAAAATGGTCAATTAAAAAAACTATTCTGAGATCTCATTATCTTAATTTCCTCTTGTTTAAAATAAAACAAAATCCATTACAAAAAAGAAAAAGAAAACTGCAAACCCTCTCAGCTTGTGAGGTACATGGTTCTCAAGGTCTGTTACCTTTAAGAATATACTATTATCTTGGGGGCTGGAGAGATGGCTCAAAGGTTAAGACCACTGAAGAGGTCATGAGTTCAATTCCCAATTACAATCATGTAAAATAAGATGGTGCCCTCTTCTGGTGTGCAGGCAAACATGCAGGTAGAACACTATATGTAACAAATGGAATCTTTTAAAAAAGTTTAAATAAAAACTAATATGCTATTATTGAGCTTGGCCTTGCATTTGCATGCTTCCCCCTGCCTCCTATGTGCTGGGACTAAAACACATGTGAGGTTGAGAATTTGACAACTGATCTACCCACTACCCACAACCTTCAGACTTTCCAATGAACAGGAAACAAGGCTGAATCACTGTGTATTAACTAAGAACAGCTCTCATGTATGAACTACAGCAGTTGGTAAGCTACTATTAATAACCCAAGATGCTCTTGGTACTTAACATCCTGCCTCTGCTAAAGCCTGCAGCGAACCCAGGTGATGCAAAAGCTCCCCACTTTGACTAGACAGGACTTGTTTGGGGAGCTCTGTGCAATAAGCACATGTTGGATGAGAAGGTGGCTAGTATTATGAAAGGAAAAAATAGGAAGGCAAGGGGCAGAGGTTGTAATTTTCAGTTAGGGCCAGGAAAGCGAGTGAGTATGAACAGCACTTGGTAGCATTTGGTACCTATGAGGGCACCCATGATAGTGAAAGCATCAGAAATTTGCCTCTGAAGATCAGCCAAGATATGAGCTGAAGTGCGGGGTGAGGGTTGGGGGATGAAACAAAAGTCTAGATGTGGGGGCAGAGAACGGACACTAGCTTTCATTAAGAGGGGGTGAGAAGGCACTGAAACCAGTGTCTCAACATACTCTTGTTGTTAAACAAAGGCTGTCAAAAAGCAAACAGCAAAGGCTTGTTGAAGGACAGCTCAATAGGCTCCCAGGACCTTCAGTACTTGACAGATAAAACAATGGTATATTTCAATCAACATGGAATGAATAATGGGAATTCTACATATGGGAATTAATTGTGCAATCTGACAGTATGGGGCACCTTAA